TCCAGCCTAAACCTGCTGCTGAGCCTCCGGTGAACTTCTCTCTTCAGTTACTGCACGTTTCAAATCCCTAGTATCCATTTAGTTCTTTTAACTGTTTTCTATCTCTATCCATGGTCTCCCGATTTTAGGACAGCATTCTCATGCTTTTCTTGAATTCATTAGACTTGGCTCCCTTTAGTTATTTCAACGTATTCGTAATAGCCAATCTAACGTTTACTACGTTCAATGTCTGGGTTTCCTCGGGGAGCGAGTCAATGGACAGATCTTTGCTCTTTCGTGTGAACCATCCTTCCATGTGTCCCTTTATTTTGTTGGAAACTCAGTGGCCATTTAACGTCCCATTCCCTGTCCTCTCCCCAGGCATTGTTGTCATTTGTTTGGTGGCTTTGGGGGACGATTTCTTTGAAGCGTCTATTCTGGATCCGTTTATCTCTGTGAACTTAGCACGAGCTTCGGCTCAGGAAGATTTCATTGCCTCACCCTCAGTTCCAACTGCCTCTGGACCCTCCGCTCCCCGCTTCATTTGCCCACACCTCCATCTCCCTCTCTCCTCCCCACCCCTCTCCTAGGTTTCCATAAATACCTTGTGGGCATCTCTGGGGGGCATCCAGAGATGCGTCCAGACACAGCTCCATTCCTGAGCAGCTCAAGCTTTGGTGTAAGGAATGACTTGTACGCAGACAACCACCCCATGTGTGGGAGCCGATGGGGGCAGAGAGGAATCAGAGGCTGTGGGAGCCAGAGAAGACGGGTGGACTCCTTGGGGAAGAAGGGCCCTGGAGGAAAAACGACCCCGTCCATCCTCCCTGGAACGAGAGTCCCAGAGAGCAGGCTCAGGGCTCGGTTCCTCCGGCCCAGCCACCTGCATTCCCCAGGCAAGAAATGGACCAGAAAGGAGGCAAGAAATCCATCCCACGACAGAGAGACATGCAGGGCCATGTGGCATTTCAGACAAAGGCTTGTCTTGGGAGCTCAGGATGACCCGCCCCACAGCCCAGCAGGGCCAGGGCTATCTATCTGCAGGCCTGGAATAAATGTCCCAGGCTTCTCTCTCAGCCAGATTCTCGCCCATCGGCAAAGTAAGCCTCTCTGCCTGGGCTCAGCCAGGACAGGAAAAGCCTGGTTTGTCCAAGGGCAGGAGCTGCAGTCAGGATGTGCACGTGTCTGCAACTCTCTAGACACAAACACCAGGCCCAGCCAAAGCTAGCCAGAGGGACAGCTGCTCATTGCTGCCCACACCGGTCCCTGGCAGGCAGACAGAGAGCTCATTCTGGACTCACAGGAGGGAGAGCGGCACAGGTGCCCAGCAGCTGACTTTAGACAAGACTCCCCTGGCAGCCTTAGTTTCCTTACCTGCAAAGCGGGGCTAACCCTATGTTCCTGTCTTGCGGGACTCTGCGAGGAACACCCAAGGGGAAGGACGAGAAGGGGCTCAGCACTGTGATGGGCGCTCCATGACCCCTGGTCTTCAACTGGGGTCATGATTCACATGGGGTTTTGAGAAGGTTGCCTACATTGGATCATTTCATAGCTTGTTCTACAACAAGTTACTACAGACTCCTCCTACTTGCAAAAGGATGTCAGCAGTTTACAATACAAGGCAATAAAACCTTTTATGAGGCTAGAAACTAAGGGCTGAGTGATGAAGTGTGTGGGTGGGTGCGTGGTGATGCCGAAAACTGAAAGATGCTCTAGCAGCGAACACAAAACAGCCTCTGCTCCCGGAGGTCAGAGAGCAGAGAGAAACTCGAAGGGCGCGTGTTCTTACAATGGGTTGCAGGGAGTTCTTATAGAAGAGGCTCTGATGGCCGTAGGGTAAGTACTGGGTTACCAACGGTAAGGTTGGCTATTCAAACCCACCAGCTGCTCCCTAGGAGAAAGAGGAGGCTGCCTATGACTGTAGATTTCAGTCTCAGAAAGCCTATGTAGGGGACTCAATGGTAGTTGGTGTTTAGAGAAAGAGCAAGCTGCTGGATAGGAGGCAAGAAGCCTGGCCCCAGGAGTAAGACCCGAGGCTCTGTGAGAACCGGCCCCGGGCTCTCCTGGGCCAGACAGCTGGATGGTGACGAGCCACCTCTAGGAAGCTTCTCAGAGTTGTGCAATCACCCCCACAACCAATGTCAGAGCACTTTCTTCTCTCTCACAGTCACCCCACCCTCTTCTGTCATATCCTTAGGTAATCGTTGATCCAGGTACTATCTCCAGAGATTTCCCGGGAAGGCTGGTGGTTGGAATCCACCTGGAGTCACCTGGCAACAAAGGAACGATGTCCATACAGTGACCGCCACCGGGACCCCGGGAAGTGCAGATCTTCTGTGACACACGGGGCTCACCCGGTGTCAGAACTGACTCAACAGCAGTGGGCTTGGTTGGAGTTGAGCAGGCCCATGGTGGCGTAGTGGCTCAGTGTTGGGCTGCTAACCACAAGGTGAGCAGTTCAAAACCACCAGCTGCTCTGAGGGAGGAAGAGGAGGCCTTCTATTCCTGTAAAGAGTTACATTCTGGGAAACCCACAGGGGCAGTGCTACCCTGTCCTATAGTCACTATGAGTCCACACTGACTCGATGGCAGTGAGTCTGTATCCACTCATTCATCCTGATCGATATTGACTTGGTGCCAGACTCTGTGCTGGAGCTGGAGATTCTGGGCAATAGCTCCTGGCCAGAGAATTAGAAAGGAGGTCTGGTGGGGCTCTGGGCCAGGTGTGGGCTTGCTAATCATAACGTTGGCAGTTCAACTCCATTAGAGAAACGTGAGCCGGTCTGCTCCTGCAGCTGCTGACAGTCTCTGCAGCACCACTCGGAATCAGAAGTGACTGGATGGCAGTGGGGTTAGAGAGTTCTCAATAAGAAAACAAGCAAAAGCCCCAAGCTCACTGTCACCAAATTGATCCCGGTTCTTCTCGACCCTAGAGGACAGAGTAGAACTGTCCCTGTGGGTTTCAGAGGTTGTAAATCTTTATAGGCATTGAAAGCCTTGTTTTTTTTCCTGTGGAGTAGCTGGTGGATTTGAACTACTGACCTTGTGATTGGTTGGTTAGTAGCCGAACGCTTAAACCACTATACCACCAGAGCCAGTGGGGAATTTTTTCAGGAGCTATATGAGCTAGGCTTGAAGGACTAAGCAGATGAACTCAGGGTCAGGGTGGAGAAGGAGACATTCTGGGTAAGAGAGGGCACAGGATCAGAGGCTCTTGTGAAAGATCAGGGGCTATAGACATGAATGAGGCTGGAGAGAGGGGACCAGGGACACAGAGAGCTATAGGGGGACCTAGAGGGGGCCAAGCATGGGAGTCCCACACTGAGGAGGAAACCTTAGTGTGGGAAGTGTCAGGGGACGGGACCAGGATGATGTCCAGCTCCCTACGCGAACAGTCGCTTGGGGTTAGCAGTGGTATGCTCAGCCATTAAGGACTGGCGGTGAGGACCGGGCTGGAGGCAGAGGGGGTGCGTGTTGTTGGTGTCGGGGTGGTAGCTTGAGGACACCCTACACAAATGCAGAGAAGAAGGGGTGGGAACCTGGGCCACCGGAACATGGAGGGAGCGGGTGGCCAGCAGTGAGGGTCAAGAAGACAAAGACAGACCTACCCACAGGCAGTGCAGACCGGAACACAGGCACACGGACGCCAGTGAGGTCTCATCACAGTAGCCCAAAGAGGGACACGCCGAGTGTCCATCAACAGAGGAATGGGGCAATGAGATGTGGCCTAGGCCTCGAATGCAAACAAATAAACAACAAACAAACAAACAAACAAACAAACACACACACACGCTCACTGCCATCGAGTTGATGCTGGCGCACAGTGGCCCTGGAGGACAGAGCGGAACTGCCCTGTGGGTTTCTGGACCGGAACTCTCTACGGGAGAGTGTCGAAAGCCTGGTCCTTTCCCTGCTGGCAGATGCATGCCAGGGGAGCTCAGTCAGCCCTACAGAGAAATACAATTCTGTACATGGAACGACATGGGGGAACCCGGGAAACATTATGCTGAGTGAAGTAAATCAGTCACAGACGGGCAACGACTGGACGATCCCATTTTATGAAACAGCACAGACATAGGGACCAAAGTCTGTTAGTGGTGACCAAGGGCGGGGCGGGGTGTGTGTGTGTGTGTGTGTGTGTGTGTGTGTGAGGTAA